CACCAAGAATGAAAGAAAAAATGGTCACACTGTCATGATTATTGTTTCATTGTTTGGTCATCTTGTCTTATTTTCTTATTTCCTGTTAGTTTTCTCCATTTCCTGTGTCATGTCATCCTCAGTAGCTTCTTAGTGTTTTYCCAGCCTGCCACTCTCACCTGTCCATAGTCTGTAATCACCAAGGTGTTTCCACTCCCAATCATCCTCAGTTGTATTTAACCGGTGTCATGTCTTCATTACCCTGTTTGATCATTGCCTTTCATGCCTCATCTCTGTCCATGTTATYTTTTGTATTTTTGCTGCCACGTCAGCCTTTTTTCTTTTGTCATTCATTAAATCAGTTTTGTTTTGCATTCAAGTCCTCGTGACTGCCTGCRTTTAGGGTTCCACACAACAAATCGTGACACACACACTCAATACACAATATTTTGTTTGATTGCGGCACACATTCACTGTGACATTGTTTGGATAAGCTTCTGCAATGTCACAAGATTTATTTCCATCCAKTGTTGCATTAATGTTTCACCAAGATCTTACRTTGATGATGGTAGAGTCTGACCTTCTCCARCACATCCCAAAGATTCTCAATGGACTCTGTGGAGCCTGTTGTGTGAAAATGATGTCTCATGCTCCCTGAACCACTCTTTSACAATTCTAGCCCAATGAATCTTGGCATTGTCATCTTGGAATATCAGGAAAGAAACAAACCATTGATGGAATAACCTGGTCATTCACTATATTCAGGTTGTCAGAACTAGCTAAATTTCATTTAAAAGCAAAATAAGTTGTGCATTTCGAGAATCTACAMTTTCCTTTCATCCCCACTGACATAAATTGTCATCTTCTTTCACTCACTGGCTCCCTTACACATACAGATGTGTGCACACAGTGACCAACTGTGATGCCGCCCCAAGTTAAGCCCCACCTGTGGGTCGCTCCGCAGGTCTGCCGGGACAATGATTCCCTCTGTTGAAAGACGCTGGACGTGCCATCACGCATCACTCTTTCTCTGCCTCCTGCGCCGTCCTTTTGGATGTCTGTGTCTCCGCGTGTCTTCTGAAGGCAAACGCCTATCACACGGATAGGTTGTCGCTGAGGGGAAAAGCGAGCGCTGCAACGAGAGACGCAGAGTGAGAGATATGAAACGCCGGGAGATAACTGTCCTTTCAGAGCCTCGGCTGATTAAAGCGCTCTAATCATTTGGCTTGAGAGCAGAGAGCTCAACTCGGAGGAGTGAGGAATGTCTTTGCTCTCGTCTATGCTAGTTTTGACTGCGGTGCTTAGCAGGGCCAGCAATGTCATTTGTGTGTGTGTCTGTGCGTGCCACTGCCCTTCATTGGTGGTCAGTCTGCCACAGGTGTTCATAGAAACTGGATTTATACGTATCCGTGTGCGTTTAAGACCTATTTGTTGTGTGTTCGATGCACACTTGGGAGCACATGCACACATTTGTGCACAATGCTCGGGTTTATAAGAGCCCCCATCCTCACCAGAAGAGAACTTCATCGTAAAAGATCTTATCTCGCCCTGAAAAGCTAAATGTCTAATCAGGACCGRAGAGATGGGGGGAGAAATAAAGATTAAATGACAATGTGGGTTTGGCAACATGGATGGTAAAACAAAATTTAAAAAAAAGACTTTAAACTGTGGGTGTGTTTGTGTATTTGTGTGATGGGTGGCATGAGTTTGCACTTTGGAACATGTTTGGAAGATATTTTGTAGACGTGTGTGTTTAAAGTGGAACTGACTATGCCAGGGTGTGGGGGGAGAGAAGAACACAGTCACAGTCAAACTTTGGATTCAGGACAAAAAAAAAATGCTCCGGTCTGCACCGAAAGCTCTGATGTTTGCAGGAAAGATTTTTTTGTTTCCCATCTTGTGCACCATTTTTGTTTCCTGCTGCAAACACTGCGCTAACTAATCATCACTCGCTGCTGAACAATAATGTTGCCCGTGCATGTTCTTTGTGAACAAAATATCATGAATCTCTGGATGGATTTTAATGAAACTCTCAGAAAATAATTGTTGGATAATCAAACTGAAGATGGATTCCAGAGCAAACACAAACTTCTCTTTAACGCGGCCGATTTTACAGATGTTGAGCTCAGATTTGCTGTGGCATCTGAG